TATTTTTGTTTTCTCATTATCTTTACTTCTCCAAAATAAGTTTTTCGTGTTCCTTATGTAAAATTGACTATAGAGAACTGTATTAATACAGTTCTCTATAGTCAATTTTACATAAGGAACGCGAAAAACTTATTTTGGAGAAGTAAAGATAATGAGAAAACAAAAATATGACATTATTTTCAAAATTTACCTGTTTTTCCAAAAAAATTCGGTACTCCACCATTTTGAAAAGTTTAAAACTACTTTTTTTATAATCAGTTTCGTGTCCTCTATCCAACCAGATGCAAAAAAGCCAAAAAATGTTTTACTGTAATTTTGAATTTCCTGCACCTTACATCCATCACGATAAGGTCCTCCACCGAGTCTACACATGAATTGAATTATACTTTTTCCAGTTGGGTTGAAACATATCAATGTTTTATTATCTTCCAATATTCGACTTGGATATCGTAATAAGAGTCGTCTCAAAGAAATTTTTTCGTTTTCTCGAATTAGATATGTAAGGCTCAGAATAGTATTGGTTGGAAGAAGTTGATATACTTTTACTTTTTCGTTCCTTGAGCCTCGCACAAATATTTCTATGCTTTTTTTCTTGGTTTTGTATTGTTTTTTCTTACAGAAAATGAGTTCCAATTTGAATATTCTAGAAGAACAAATGTAATCACATTATTATTTTGGTTTCGACGTCAAAAAGAGACGAGTAATGGTGTGGGTGTGAGTTTGAATCTGTAGTTCTCAGAGACCAACACCCACACCATAAATAAATAATAATCCAATAAAACAAACTCAAATTAATTTATTTTTGAGCTCATAATATATAGTGAAAATTATTTTTTATTTTTCAGGAATAGATTAGTTTACCATTGTTCACTATCGAAATAAACTAATTTAGATCATCGATAGCACGAAACTCTGAGGGTTTTATCCATATAAATTAATTTAATATTGTTTTTTTCTAAATGTTTTTCTGTCATCTTTTGAATCTGAAAGCATGCTTGATAGTTAACGCACACTTAACGATGTTATTTCTATGATTAGGATTAAGAGCTTGAATTAAACTCATTGACTTTTGCTTCTAGATACTTTCCTAAACCCTACTAATAGATCTTTGACTTGGAATATGAATTACTAAAACTTTTAATTACTATGGAATATCTATTCGGCAAATTTCGTACAAGTAACTTTAGTTTTTAATAGATAATGCAAATGGTAGAAAATTTTGATTTAAAACTAACAGTGAAATATTTTCTTCGAAAATAGACCTAACTTCTAGAAAAAATAAATAGGTTACATATACAGTACAGTAAGTGACATTTTACTTTCTACTTAATTGGTATGCCCAATAAGTTCCGATATGTTCGATCTTCATGTATATAGACTCTAACTTGGCTTTTATTTTAAGAAACTATATGAATTGAAGATGAGAAAAAGAGAATGTTTATTAAAACGATGTTAAATATAAAATAAGTATTGAAATAAAGATCGATAATGTATATTTTATACTGATAGCTATATTGGATATTGTTTCATTTGGTTTGCTTGTTGTTAATTCACTTGGTTTATTCATTTTTGTTACATGTGGTGTATTTATTCCACAAATATAATCAGTACCGAAATATTGCATTGCTGCTTGTTTGCTTTTAGTTGTTGCACCAGAAAAATCAATTTGACTTATTTTATTTAAACATGAACGATCAGGTTCAAATGTTGGTGATAACATATATGTTATAGCTAAATTCCAACCACAATTTCCTTCTTCGTCTGTCATTGGTGCCGCATCTACATTTTTTATTATTTCAATTTTATATTCATACGAAAAGAAAGAATTTACTTGTAGCTGTATGTCCAATACGAAGCATTTCAATATAAGTTAAGTTCGAATTAATCTATGAATATTGTTTAGAAAAATGCGGTGCAATTGAAACAGGTAATGCTGAATCCATATCACCTTTGATTTTTAAAATATAATTATTTGATATTAGAATAAAAAAGAAAAATTGAATAGATACCATGTAATAATAAAACAAGTAATTTAGGTTTTTTTGTTGGATATTTTCTATAATATTGATCCGTTGGATAACCTAATATTTGAGTTAGTTGCATAGGACAATAAATATCAGGCATAACATGTGTTGAAGTAAATGTATTCATTGACAATCCTTTTAAATAATCACATGTTGGATTTTTTCTTGAAGATTTAAGGAGACCATAATTCAGCAAAATTATTATTGAATTCAACTAATAATACATATCCTGGTGCACCATCTTCAGCGGATGGTTGTGTTACATTTATAAAATGTTTTAAAACATTTGGATCATCGAAATTACATCGATTTATTCGATAGATTAATGCAGGAAAAAGTTGCATCATATTTGGGTGGGTGTGGGTAGTTGTATACCCTTCAGTAGGCAACAGTAACCACACCCACACCCACACCACACCCACGCCCACACCTACACCCTAGATTTTATTTTTTTACATCAAAATATATCCTAAATTAATTTCTTTTTTGTTTATATACTAATTTTAAACAAGCATAGATTAAATATTGTTTTTATTCAATTAAGTTATTCACCATAAATTATTTTATAAAAATAAATATAATAGAAAAGTAAAAATTTCTTTTTTGTTTCTATAAGTATATTATTATGCTAATTATATTTTTATTGTCGAGTAATAATAATTTTATTAACATTAGACTATTTATTTAATCATTTATATTAATCATATTTCAACCATATAGTAGAAACAAGAAGAATTTGCATTTTAATTCTCTAGTGAGTTTGAAATCTTTTTAAAAAGATTATACTATATTGAAAAAAAACTTATTTGGTGAAAATGAAATATATGTTCGACAAAAAAGTCAGAGCTCTAGCGTATCTCCTTTGGAAATACAAATCTTGAGGGAGGGTGTGGGTGTGAGCTTTGGTCTTCCATTCACACTGATCTACGCTCATACCACACCCATACCCACACCCACACCACACCCATACCCACACCCACACCTTGGTCGTTTCTTACCCATGACACAAATACTTTAACTTTAACTTTTTTTTTAAAGTTAAAGTGTGAAAGTGTTTTACTTTAACTTTATGGTTAAAGGTTAAAGTAGTACTTTAACTTTAACTTTTAAAGTAAATTTAAAGTGTCACCCGTAGTACAGACAAGTTGTTAAATCGGCTGTAGACCCAAAACTCTATTGGTGGCGGCGCTTCGAATCTCGTCGATTGAGATACATATAGGTCGATTTTGTAAACCTATCTAGTTTTTTCATGTAAGCGATGACGTCAAATATTTTCTCATCCGATTCATCATACCATCAGTCACAAAGAATTGGACTTTATATAAAAAGATTATCATATTCGGAATCAGCGCAAAAAAATCGAGTCGATTGATGTATATCTTAATCGTTTCTAATGATTTCAGTTTTTTTCGAGCTTTCACCTGTTAGGGTGACTGAAAATTTCACCAAAAAATCAAACGTGATGAAAAGTGTGAAAACATACATCAATCGACTCGATTTTTTACACTGATTCCGAATACAATAATCTTTTTATATAAAGTCAATTCTTTGTGACTGATGGTATGATGAATCGAATGAGATAAAATATTTGACGTCATCGCTTACATGAAAAAGCTAGATAGGTTTACAAAATCGACCTATACGTATCTCACTCGACGCGATTCGAAGCGCCATCACCGATAGAGTTTTAGGTCTACAGTCGATTTAACAACTTGTCTGTACTCAGTCTTTGATGCTGCATCTGAAAAAATTAGCTTCAGAAGCTGAAAAAAAGAATGAAGTGGAAAGGACAGGGGCGCATAAGACTCTGATTTGGCCCATTGGGTATTCCACACTATATCCAGCACAATCATATATACAATGAAAGAGCTTCAACTGGCGAGTACTTTGATACCAGATTTCAGGTACCTTTCAAGTACATTTGAGGACTTCCTACCTTAAGATATTGAATGGTCTTATCACCATATTTGATTAATCATTTTGCTAAAAATCCGTATAAGCCAGCTTCTGTTATAGCTTATCGGATAGCTCTTTTCACGGACTACAAAACCCTATAATCTTTAAAACTATTAAAGGTGGGCCACTAAAAAAGTCTAAGATCACAAAGTAAAAACTATCCCATTTTTACATATAGTATAACATGTTTGATTTATCATTCCTTTAAAAACTTTTTTTAAGTCAGCTCCTGTTATAACTCGTCAGATGACCTTTTCTGTCAGCTACAAAATCATAGTATTTGTAGAATCAGAGAAGTGGAAACACTATAATCAAATAGGTACATTTTGTTTTTGTAAATCTGTAAGAAGAGTGCTACCATTTCCTGTTCTTATTATTTTTTTTCAAAAGTCAGATGCGACATCAATTGTTATACGAGATTTATATTATCATTGACATCTAGATTATTCAAACTATGTTAGATAATTGTGTGAAGACTATTGACTCCATTGCTGTAGTGGTCATGAGTTTTATTTAGACCTCACTTATTTCGGTTAAAAAAGCCGTTGGATTTTTCTAAAGACATTCGTTGAAGTATTCCCACATTCATACGCTGCCCATTGGAATTTCACTAAGCAGGAGCCAAGGAAGAAACAACTGAGACTTCGGCTGTGAAGTCCATCAAGTCTCGTGAAGCCCATGAAGTTTTATGAAGTCTCATGAAGTCTTAGAAGTCTCCTAAAGTCTCAGAGGTCTCTTAAAGTCTCCTTCTGAGGTCTGTTGAAGTCTCGAAGTTTTGAAGTCTGCTGTTTCCCCCTTTGGTATCACCCTTCTGACAGATTTACAAAAACAATATGTATGTACCTATTTGATTATAGTGTTTCCACTTCTCTGATTCTACAAATACTATGATTTTGTAGCTGACAGAAAAGGTCATCTGACGAGTTATAACAGGAGCTGACTTAAAAAAAGTTTTTAAAGGAATGATAAATCAAATATGTTCTACTATATGTAAAAATGGGATAGTTTTTACTTTGTGATCTTGGACTTTTTTAGTGACCCACCTTTAATAGTTTTAAAGATTATAGGGTTTTGTAGCCCGTGAGAAGAGCTATCCGATAAGCTATAACAGAAGCTGGCTTATACGGATTTTTAGCAAAATGATTAATCAAATATGGTGATAAGACCATTCAATATCTTAAGGTAGGAAGTCCTCAAATGTACTTGAAAGGTACCTGAAATCTGGTATCAAAGTACTCGCCAGTTGAAGCTCTTTCATTGTATATATGATTGTGCTGGATATAGTGTGGAATACTCAATGGGCAAAATCAGGGTCTTATGCGCCCCTGTCCTTTCGCACATTTTGAAAAAGATGTGTTTTTTGAAGAAAACGACATCCTTCGAGTATTTCGTATTTTTCGACCGGAATGAAACATTCACTTAGGCTAAAAAGTAGTTTTTTTGTGATCAGCAGCTCAAGCTCCATCAAATGATGTAAAAAAAGATCGACAAAAAAATTTCTTTTACTTGATTTTTGCGTTGCGGGCACCTTACCCAATAACAACCATTTTTAAGAATACTTACGTCACTTATTGATCATCTTTAGAAAAAAATATGTGCTTTTTTATTAAGAATGGATTATTTAAGTTGAAGTCGACAGCAACGTTCTATCTGTTTTCTATTGAAAGAAAAAGAGCAAGTGCACATAGTATTTGAAACGAAATGAATTAATAATGACATGATTCCATTGAAAATCGAATGAAGAGTCGCTTGCAATGAGAAAAAATTGCAATATGGATATAGCCGAAGTAATATTTCGATTTTTTCTTCTACATGAGTATGATACAGAGGAATCGGATTATTCTGAAACATCTGTTAGATTAAACCAAAAATGACACATGAAAAATATAGCAAAACAACTTTGCTTCAATTTCTTTGTCGAAATATTTCCAATGATACGTTTTGAGTAAGCGTTCATTCCTTTTCTACATCGATACATCAGCGTACATATAAATAAATTCGAGTAATAGTATTTCCAATTTTAGCTGAAATTGAAAAGTTTTTCGCTTAGCATTCAATTCCACTCATTCATACACTCTGCTAATGTGATCTCTGTATATTATAAGTTTCTAATGTAGGCATGGTAGTCTCTATCTAAGTTTGCTAATCCACATTAAAAGTATATGAAGGTAAATAGTAGTAATGATAGCGTCTTATTATATTTGTCTGTCGGAAAAAATTCCATTGTTTTTGTTAGATACAGTACAATCTCTCTATAGTGGACACCCTTCGGACTTTATAAAAGTGTCCACTATATGGAGATGTCCACTATGGAGGGGTTAAGTCTTTTCTAAAAGCAAAGTTTTTTTGCATAAATAGACGCATTTTTTAGATATCTGGAGAGTGTTAATGAATAAGATAACTAGCTCAAGCACGTTACTACATCTCTTTTCATATATTTTTATTGTAGAAAATAGAAAAATTAAAAATTGTTACGATAATCTTTAATACAGCTCCGTTTTGCCAGTTTCGAATACAGACAAATGCCAGTATCTTTTCTTTTCTGTCATTTATACATGTAATCGATGACAAAAAATCATCATCTTGTATGTCTGATGATAGTCGTCGCGAAATTTCTCTCCAAACTCCTAAGTAGTGTCCACTATAGAGAGGTTCAATTTCAGCAAAAATCACTCCGTCAGACTGTAAACATGTGTCCACTATGAGAGGTTTTACTGTACCTACTTTGTGCAGTAACGCATCCATGAGTCATTAATGTTTATGAAAACACATCCGGCAGATCTAAATGAAGGTTAAACAGAGAGCTATTATGATAGGTAATACGCATTCATAATTGTTTTGCTTTACTAAGATGCTTTTACTTTTATATCGAAAATGCCCAAAGTCTGCTTTATAGTAATTTGAAATTCTCACATATTAAAAATGAACAGAAGTAGAAGAATGTAGGCACCAACCCAACTCCTTTGACCGTATGTTCAGTTATGAAAATCTTCCATTGTGCACCTGTATCAACTATCATTTGATCCATCGTTATTATACAACTTGGCCAGAAAGTGACGGTTGTCCTTAAACCATTGTATCATCGATGACATCGAGCGATTGGCATAAATGAAACACTTATATAAAGAAATCTCCTTTCTTTTCTCAACTGAGTCTTTTCGCTATCAATAAAATCGCTCAATCGAACATTCTCCTAATGGATAGTATTGATGACAACATTCTTCAGATCTTTTATCACATAGTTTCAAAACTTTAAATTTTCTTCAGTTAAAAAAACACTAATAAAGCATTTTATATGAATACAGTAAACGACAATTCTTCAATGTAATTATGACATTTTCTGTCGAAGAAACTTGTAATAGCAACACTGATATCATCATATTAGCTTGTCTTTCTTTTGATGTAATTTGTATTTGCCTTTCTCATGGTGTGTGTATGTGCACTTGCTTGCTTTCTTTTTTTTCATTTATGCAATATTCAACGTCTTCCATGATACGGCTGCTTATTATCTATACGCATAAGTAGAGTAATGAACTAAATATGACATAAATTTATTTACCTTTTTTTGTAATACGAATACTATTTTAATTAGTAGCAGTTTTTCAGATCGGAATTTGGACATTTTCAAATGACTAATTAACGAAAACGCCCAGATAATTCGAAATTATCTTATGATGTACTTCTTGACATCTTTTCTTTTGCTTTTTGCTACATCTTTATCATCGTCTTCAATCATTTCACCATTTATCTATGCAAAATATATCTTATCTTATAATGATATTCAATCAACGAACATCTATATTAATATCGAATTTCAAATCAATGAACATATTCAATTTCATTTAAATGGAACACAAATATTTATAATGCCACGTTCTGTCCCATCTGGATATAATTTACAATTCTATGATTCATATGTTGATAATTTAACAGCAAAAAGTTCAAGTGGAAATTTTATTACTATCAAAAAAGAGTCAATAGATGGTCCAAGATGGACATTAGAATGTGCCTTGAATGAGACATTATCAACTATTTCTTATTCAATTAATTTAACTAAACATGAGCAAGGGATACTAAATGCTGGTGATGCATCAAAAATACGTCTAAATCGTTATATAAGTACATTAGGTTATTCGATTTTTGGTTATTTAGAACCAATGGATAAAGTAGAAAATTTTCCTTTGATGTTAATCGTTCAAAGTCTATCTGAATGGCCTATTCATTTAACATTATCACCTAGTAATCAACAAATCTATGGTACTACTAGTGGTATAGCTAAAAATTATTATCATTTAGCCGATTCACAAATATACATGGGACCAAATATGAATTTCACGTATATTTCTATTTCTGATGATAAATTATTTCCATGTTCGTCATTTGATCAAAAACTAATAGAACAAAATCATACTCAAATATCATTATCATTTTATGTAATTATCTATACCGAAGATACAGAAAATTTTGATATCGATATGGTCACTAAATTAAGTGTACAAGCAATGAAAAACTTATTATTGTATTACAATATTATCCCGTTTTCATTTTATACAGTTGCAATGGAAATAATTAAACCATTAGATGATAAACATACCGATGGTTTTAGCATGGAACATTTAAATAGTTGTACAATAAATGTTAAATATGGTACAATTATTAATAAAAATAGTACAGATAATCAAATAAAACAATTTCAGTATAATATAGCACATCATATTCAACATGCTTGGTTACCGAAACGGTTATTTTCAATTTTTTACTATCCATTTACATTTGAATTAACACCAGTTATTGATACTATTTGGTTTAACGAAGTATGTTGGTATCATGATGTATTTAAGTTAGGATAAACTAGTGGAAAAATCAGTTCTAGACTAGCTATAAATTGGCAGAATCTACAGGATGTTTCATAAGTCTTGAGGCGCGACACAATTAGTTTGTATGCAAACAGAGAATAACTCCTAACTGAATGTTTTATATGAGTCTTGAGTGCTTGTGTCAGGCTTTCAAATAACATATTATTGGATGATCATAGGCGGCAGAGCGGTTGCAGTCTAGGATAGACTCAACATTTCAATCAAACCAAGTCTGCTCATGTGAAAAAAGAATTCAAATCAGATTAAATCGATTATTATCATAAGATTTTTAGTGATTTTTCTTTGTGATAAATGAAAGTTTTCTTCACCCAATTTTTATAGGTTTGCATCAAAAAGAGTTGATTTTTTAAAGAAGTTTTAATCGATTATAATCAGAGTCAATCGTATTATAACTGAACTTTGGATCTTTTTCGATCAAACTTGTTTAAATAATGATTCAAAATAGGTAAAAATTGCAGTATAATAATAGATTTTGAATCCATCTCAATATAATTTCAACCCTAACTGATTTGCACACTGATGCGCACGGACTAAGAAGTGTTTTAGTTTATTTTTTCTATGATGGTGAGCATTATAGCTTTTCTTCCTAGACTTTCATTCTTTATAAGCGTGATAATTAAATTTGTAATGCGACATTGTTTCGTAGCACAACAGGAAATAAGGAAGTAACTGAAAAAGGCTATTTAAGGCTCCCTTCAAAAAAAAATCACTTATCGTCAGAATGATCGAAATTCAGATAGATGAAGAAAGCTAGCCCGTGATTTTATCTCTCATACACGATAAAAATCTTTACTCGGCACTTCACTTTTTCTAAAAATTTTTGAAGATCTCCCTCATCTTCTCTTCGAAAAATAAGATGTTTTTTTGTAAAAACGAGGTATGTTCAGATTTCCGAAAAAAGAAATTACAGAAATTTCCGAAGCTTCCATCAACTCGATAACTACATAGCAAAGCAAATGAAAATTTTTTGGAAGTGCCGGAAAGTTTAGAAATTTTAGAATTTTCTGTAATTTCGGAAATTTCGCTACGTACAGAATGTTGTAAATTTCGGAAATTATGTAATTTTGAGAAGTGCCAAACAATTTAGAACACCAGTGCTTGAAATTTCCAAAACTTCCAAAACTTCTTTTTTCGGAAATCTGAACACTGCTGATTTTGTAGGGGTTTTTTTGAGTCATTGAATTTGTTATTCCTTTTCTTCGCTTAAAAAGTAAGAATTTAAAAAAAGGGCTACGAGAGGGACTAACTTTAAACACGAGCTTTAAACAAGAAAACCTAAATGTATAGAATAAAGGTCTACAGAGAATTCTTGGAGATGCGATCGAGTTATTTTTAATCTTTGTTTGGTGAATATCTCTGTCAAACGTAGTGATATGGGGCTGAAAATTTTATCATAGCCTTCCTACACCAACTCCAACATACATTGAAATTTTCATACAATTTGGATGTTACTAGTCTGAGATCGATTTTTGAGGAAGGGTACCTTAAAAAGCAATAGAAAAATCGTCTAAGAAGAAATAAAACTACTCAAGAGCAGAAGATGTTTTCTTATCTTGATTCTTTGAAAGAGAATCAGAATAAAAGCTTGATCACGTTGATGGCGAGGTTTTGACTGGTTTTAATTACGATATTTCTGTATATAATCCTGGTTCATCTTTAGTACCACTTGAACTCTTAGACAAAATTTCAACAGAAAATGGGCTTCCATCAAAACTATTCTTGGATTGTTTTTAATTTTGAGAAAAATAATATTCTAATTTTGTCTAGCTTGTATCATTATACCTAAGAAATAAAGTTATGCAAGTATATAAAATTCAGAAATTATTTTAAATAGGTGTTCACAAAAAAAACCAATTCAACTGTCTCGTCTTGACAACCGAAAATTCGATGTCAGTATAGGTACTAACGAAATCCAATAAATATTTCATGGAGCACGAAGTTAGCAGTAGCGAAAAGATACACTGACCTCCTAAAAATACGTTTTATGTCAGAAGAATATGAAAAGTAAACAATAATAGAAAACTTATATTTTATCGAGCCTACCAAAGCCTTGATTTGTCCTAGTTTAAGCCTATCCAAGCCTACTCTCTTTCCTTGTTCGAGCCTACCCAAGCCTAATGACTTCGCCGCCTATGTGGATGATATTTTCATTGATAATAATAAAAATATAAACATGAGAATATGAGGAGAAATTTTTCGCAATCGATCAACAAGATATTTTATTAGAATATGAAAAACACTCTAACATATATTAATTTAATGATACAAAAATCTCATTTAACAAACACGTATTTGTTCTCTACTACTCTTGATTATCTCATCAAGTCTCTTAGAAATTTTATCAACCATTTATTTACAATCATTACAAGTTGTTTTTTTTTCACTTTTTTTTTGTTCAGTCTAGTTTTTAACTTTCTAAAACTTGAAAATTGTTCATCCCATACCTTTTCTTTTAATTTTTCCCATACACTTTCAGTGGGCCGTACATCAGCAAATTTATCGTCACCTTGTTAAAAAAAAACTCGATGATTAAATAATTCATCAATAATTCAAAATACAATCTTTGTTCTTTGTTGTTGGTTCTGCACTAGAGCCCGTTTGGTCGACCCGGACCCCAATCCGAGCGGGTCCAGGCCCCACTTCACGGGTACTACTTTGAAAAAAAAACGCCAATTATAAATTGATTCTTATAAGATTATCGCCAGCATTGCTTGAAAAATATTGCGGGTATGCTCGTGGGTGACTATCAGGTACGGGTCCGAAAACTTTGGACCCGACGGGCTCTATTTTGCACATGACATTTTCATGTACTTTATCAATTCCAATTCGGTTACTGAGTACATAACTTGGCTGAACATGTAACCAATGGCTCGTGATAAACGCAAAATAAACGAATAAGATAAATAATTATTGCTTTTTACTACAATATTTTTCATATAGAATATGTTCAGCACTTTATTTAAAAAAAATCACGTTGATCGATTCTGAAAAAACTATCTTCACATTCTCATGTTTATATTTTTCTTATTACCAATGAAGATATCATGCAATAATATGTCATTTGAAAGACTGACAAAAGTATTCAAGGCTTATATAAAACCATTCAGTTAGAGATTATTCTCTGTTTGCCTATAAACTATTGTTGTCGCGCCTCAAGACTTATAAAACATCCTGAATGTTTTGAATGTTTAACTCAGCCAAACAAAAAATCAGTACTGGATTGATTCGATTCGCTGAGTATATTCCAGTTCCATATCAAGTCGAAGCTCGATGTTTGATAATTTTAGCCATGCTTTCTAAGTTATTAGGTTAAAAGCATTTCTAGATTGAAAAAAAAAACAAAAGCGCGCCAAAATTTTATAATCAAAACCAAGAAATTACTGACTGTTCACTAATACGGCTCAGAGTTGTAACTGTTCGAGAATTCTCGAACTGGTTCGGTTCGGCCGGTCCAAATTTTAGACCGGTGCAGTTGGACCGGTTAAAACAACTTTTCAGACCGGTAAAAACTGGCGAAACCTGACCGATTTGTTATATCATTTACTATCGGGAAAAGGGAAGGTTTGAAAAAAACGCTCATTTTTCTCTTTTTATTCTTAGTTTTTTGAAATCTGCAAGAGGAGATTTCATGCCATAGCCATTTATATCTGTCAGCTTACTCAAAGATGAAGATGGGATGTTTCTCTAGCGCAAAAAAGGAGTCAATTTCCTCGATAGCTGATTGCTAGACTGCAGATTTTGAATTTTTTCAGTCAGGTTTAACATAAAAACCTAATCTTTCTCTTGAAACGATGATCTAAACCTCAATATAGTCTCTAACAAAACATCAATGAGATAAGTTGAGAACTTTATCTTGAGTAGCAGTGTTTTCCTTGTGCTTTTCAGGAAATGAAATAAACTTCGAATAAAAATTTACAAATTGTAGACAAATAGAAGAAAATAAGAGTGATAGTTTTGGAAATAATACGATTATTTCGATAAAAGAACTTAAACTTGAACTGGGCATATTTTATTAGAAAAAAATTGTATATCTAGAAGATTGTGAAAGGCATTTTTTTGACTCAACCCTAAGAGAACCAGAGGTGAATTTTTCACTAAATTTTTTTTTAAACCAGCGAAGATCGGTTGGTCCAATCATTTCAATTGGTTCAGTCGGGTACTGGTCGCACCAAGCAGTCATCCTATTTCGCAATGTTGAACATTATGGAATCAGTTCCACCCGTTCCGAGAACTCGATTATCGTTCAGTATGAGAGGCTTAATTGACATTGATCAAGTTCCATCAATTCCGGGAATTGGGTCGAACCGGAATTAGACGAAATTCCCACCGATTACGTTCCGACCGAATTGCCGGAATTCCAACCAGGAGCTATTCAGTCATTCCAGAGGCTAAACTTTGACCACAGCAGTACGCATGAGGGCGATGGCAAGGACAAGTAGTAATTTTGGAGCGGAATTCCGAAATTAGTTCCGGGAATTGATGGAACTCCATCAATGTCGTATAGACCTACGATGTCGATTAACGATCAAGCTCCCGGAATTGGGTAGAAATGCTTCCAGTAGCAGAACTGATTTCGCAATGTTCAACATCGCGGAATAGGATGTATTCTCGCCGTACGGATTAAAACTCTGGTACGGCTTTAATGGACCTTATACATAGTGGACGAGTCACATCTAGTTTGAAACTATTACTTACAAGGGAACATTTCTGAGGTATCTGGGCGCTTTCGATGTGAGATGTTCTCCATATGTTGGCCATAGTAAGGTTAGTAGAAGCCTAAAGGGATTAGAGTTTCTAGCCATTTTTTTCTCGAATCTTTTTACCTGATGTTTGGCTTCTCCAAGGAAAGTGGAGTCCTCTCATTTAGATCTGAAATGTTACCCTCACCTTTACAAGTGATTGAACATGAAAATTTGTTGATTTTTGTTGAAATTTCTTAGGGTTTTGGCCAATATATAGCTATGGATGCAATGGCTAATGCTTTGCCATTAAATGAATCTTATGAATATCGACAATATTTGATTGAAAATCGTTTTGAATATTATTTTAATTTGGCGCCATTATTTATAAAACAAATGCCGTTGCCATATTTATCTATGATTGCATCATCTTTATATTCTCGTGATTTTCGAACAGGTAGTAATTTATTTGCACGTGGAGCATTAATGGCTAAAGATATGGATGAATTAATACAGTCAAAAACACTAAAACAAAAGTAAGCCATTATATACGTAGACAAGATAACGGAATATAAAAGAGAAAAAAGTTCGAACTCAACTGAAAATGTTATACTCGTTGTCTCTTTTTGATATTCTAGAAGTCTTCGTGATGGTATCATTTATATGTTGAAATGGTCAGAATCTAGTTCATATATTATTCCATTTACAATGGAACAATTTCCTAAATTTTTTATGAGTGCTACTAATGTTGATGTTAGTTTAGTGTTAGAAAAATGGTTACAATTGATTCGTATTTAACATTTTTCCAATGATTCAAAAAAACCTTAGCTTTTCATGCTTCATATTATTGTTATTTTTTTATCATATGATTTTTTCACATAATATAGCATCGGATTAAATAAAAACGACATGACATGAATATTGAGATAATGCTATAATCAAGCGGAGTCAGTTTATGGGTTCATTGTGTGACAGAAAACTGGGGTGTTGGTGTGGGTGTGGATGTTCTCTTCATCCACACTCACCCACATCCACACCAAGCCACCAACACCCACACCCGCTCAGAGGTAATTTTAAGCTTTTTCAAAAATCCTACTTTCTTCTTTTTTGTGGAGGTCACATATATTTTAGAAGAAAATAGTGAATGTAAGTTTTAAGTCGAAGTTTTGTGGCTCCCAACTTTCGGCCTCTCCCTCCCACCCTATTAGGGTGTGGGGTGTGGGTGTGGGTGTGGGTGTGGGTGTGGGGTGTGGGTGTGGGT